TATTAGTGAAGGAGAAGGATCCTCCACCAAAAATAGGCGAAAAAATGGTACTTGTTGAAGAACCGGAGTTTGAAATCAACGTATCGTCTTCGTATTCATTTGACGTGAAGCTTTACACCTGTCTTTTCTGGGATGAGGACAACGACGAATGGAGTACGAAAGGCTGCAAGGTAAACTGCTATTAGAATAGACAGCGTTTTGCTTAAATTTGAAATGAGATTCAACTTCCTTAGCTTAACAGTTTCACAAACGTAACTTGCGTAAAAATGCAAGCCTAACCCGAGGAAATCAAGATTGAGTGCGAATGGCATCAGGTAATAAAGCTACAGGGAAATCGGTTAGAGCTTTCGGAAGAAGGAGTGGCAAAAAGCAAAAGAAGAAAAGCGATATTCTCCTTTCTCCATCAAAACGGACAGAAAGTTTCTGAAGCAAATAGATTTAGAAAAACAACTTCGCCCTCCTCCCCATTTTGATTGGTTCATATTCCATGAAATCCTGTGGAATTGTTTTTATTAAATGTCGCACTGAAGATGAAAAATGCCTAGCTAATGAAATATGAATTTCAGAACGCTTTTAGTCAGAAATGCCTTAAAGCAACAACTTGCAATTCTATTTTTACTATTTTTGGTAAGCAAAGTTGGGTATGGTAAAAAATGGGTATGTTTATCCTCTTTATGTTTAAATCTTAAAATCTTCGGCTTTGTTTACAACTGTTATTTTCTGATTCTATTCTTCCTTCTCTCCTGCTTTCATTCATTCATTCATTCATTCATTAATCCATTCCTTTGTTTCCTTCTTTCGTTCATTTCATTTTTTCCTTCACGCAGCCTGGCCCAAACTCTACTGATGAAAACTTGCAGTGTTTCTGTAACCACCTGACCTCATTCGGAGGCGAGCTCCTTCCTACCCCGAATGATATTGACTTCGAAGAAGTTTTTATTGGATTTGCCAGCCTTGGAAAGACTGGGAATGTTGGAGTTATTATTGCTGTTGGCGTATTCTTCCTGCTGTACATCGTTGGCGTTGTGTTTGCGAGAAAGGCGGATAGAAGAGACGAAGAACAGGTAACTTTTTTGTCGTGCCATTGCCCTTAGCCCACACGGTCCCGTCTACACTATGCCAGAGAGAAATTTGAAAACGTTGTTTTTACTTTGTAAACGCATCAATTTTTTTTTTCTGTCCACACTAAGACAAATTTAAAAACGCAGTATTCATCGGTCATTTTGGATTTGTGTTCCAGAAAAACCTTTGAAAAGAAATCACATGATTATCGTGACGTCACATTCTCCGCCCACACTAAAACTCAAAGCCGGCTTTTTCAAATTCCTCCGGTTAGAAGAAGACTTTCGAAAAATTCCGTTTTCGTGAAGGATTAGTGCGTAGAAATAAAGCTGCGTTTTCCAGTGTTTCCGGCGTAGTGTGGACGAGGCCTTAGAGTGTGGCGATGTCATTTACCAAAAACCGTAGTTGCCTAAAACACTTTTTTTTGCAACTGGGTTCTGATGATCATAGTTCATGTGAATTGATTTTATTTTTCCTTTTTTTGTGCCTTTTGTTACAATGTGGTGTTATGCTAGTATTTTAGTCCTATTCAACGACTGCACCTGTATATGAACGCGATTTATAAATAAAGAAAAAATCCAATTCTCAAGAGACCAATCCTAATCCCGAGAACTTGCAATATTGACCACGCTATCACTCGGTCAATACACCAAGGCCGAGGTTTGAGATTTTGTCGTAAAGATCTCACTCTCGGGTTAATAATTAGTTTATTTTGTGGCTTATTCAAACAAGACCAAAAGAAAAAAAGCCATCCGATAATGCGGGCATTTTTCTGGCCGTGCATTCATCGTTTCCAACTGCACAAATCAGGTGAAATAACGCGTAGTTCAAAAACCACTACATTCTCCTTGTTTATGGACCACAAACAACGTTGAAATGTTTTACAAAATGTCGCCGACTGTTTTCTTCGTGGTTTTTACCTTCTTTATTTTTTTGCTGGCCGAGAAAAGCTTCAATTTAATTTCCTATTGGCTGTTTCAGTCGTCCTGTCCGGCATCAATTCGTGCGTAATTTAACTTTGTGAAATCCCTGTTCTCCTAAAATCGTAGCTTGTCAGGGTAATAAAATGCATTCTCAGAGTGTTCAATCATAGTTTTCAGTTTCAATTTTCAGGAAAAATGAGAAGTTTTTTGTTTGTTTTTTTTTTTTAATTTCCTTTCGCTTTGCCCTTTGGAGGACATTACGGGAGAATAATGCTCTAGAATTAGCCAATCAGAGCGCGTTACACCAGGCTAAAAAGGTCCTTTTACGGTTTGCAGATCTCTTTGTCCATTCCTGTGCGAACGAGAAAAACTGGCGGCCATGTTTACGAAATTGCCGTGTACACAGGAATGTTTGGCTCCTCTGGCACTACTGCAAATGTGTCCATGATTATTAACGCAGAGAAAGGCGAAACCGAAATATTACCTCTAAAGGACATCACTGGCAACAAAAATCCGTTTTCTCGTGGTAGCGTAAGCTCCTTTGTGGCTAAACTGCCAAATCTCCTTGGTCAACTGAACTACGTGAGAGTGTGGCATGATAACTCGGGCCCAAGTCCTTCATGGCACCTTTATCAGATTGTTGTTCGTCACGTGGCCACAGATAAGAAGTGGTTCTTTATTTGTAACCGCTGGCTGGCTGTCGAAAGAGACGATGGAACAATCGAGAAAGTACTTTTTGTCGCCGACCAAAAACAGATGGCGGGATTCCAAAACCTGTTTTACCAAAGAGCTACAAAGGACATCGGAGATGGTCACTTGTGGTTTTCAGTGTACACAAGACCGCCAAACAGTTCATTCACCAGAGTGCAGCGATTAACTTGCTGCATATCATTGCTTTTCTCCACCATGGTTGCCAATGCAATGTTCTATGAGCTTGGTTCCGAACAACAAGGTCTTGAAATACAGTTTGGGCCCATTAACTTTAACTGGACGGAGTTGATGATCGGGATTCAGAGCAGTTTGGTAATAGTGCCAGTGAACCTGTTGATTATCACTATTTTTCGTTACACGAGGCCAAAAGCGTACAAGATTAAAGCAAACTCAAACTCGAAAAAGAAAAGGAAATGCAAACTCCCTCACTGGTTTATTTACATAGCATACACGTTGGCTTTATTGACCTCTTTAACAGGAGCAGCATTCACCATGTTCTACAGCATGATTTGGGGAAAAGAGAAGTCTAACAAATGGATAACATCAGTCACTGTTTCCCTGGTGCAGGACATCTTCTTCGTGCAGCCACTTAAAGTCATCGTTGTAGCTTCGTTGTTGTCCTTCTTGTTCCGCAAGCCACCAGAAGAAGACAGAGATGAAGTCGACAGTGATGATATTTCAGAAACAACAAACGAAGACACTGATCTCCACAACACGGAGAACATGAGTCACGTGAAAAACAAACTGGAAAATCCCAAGACACTGGCAGGGCTATACAGTCCGCCTGATCCAGTGCTCGTGACGCTCGCTAGAGAGAGAAAGCTCAATGAAATGAGAATGTGGAAAATATTTTCTCAACTTGGATTACAGTTAGTTTTCGTTTTTCTTCTGTGTGTAGCTACCTATGGCAGTCGAAGTAGCGATAGGTTTTGGCTGAACAAGAATATTAAGGATATTTTCAACGTAAAGATCGACAAGGTAAGAAGAAAAGTTCTTTCTACTGGGTCTGTCAATTCCAAACCCACTGATCCCCCCTCCCCTCAATCGTGACGGCAGAGGCGCAGTGCCCTCGTGGTTAGTGCGCTCACCTCCGGATCGACCGGTTCGGCTTCCGCCCTTGGCCGGGTATATTGCGTTGCGTTCTGAGGTAAGACGCTTTACTCTTTCAGAGTGTCTCCACTTGATCAGGTGTATAAATGGGTACCGGCGAATTTATAATTAATGCTCATGCATAAACCTGCGATGGACTGGCAGCCCATCCAGGACTCCTGGGGGAGTAGAAATCCTCCTACTCGTTTCATGCTACGGACACCGGAGATAAGTGCCGGCCTGATGGGCTACTTTGCCAGTATGCATGTATGTATGTCCGTCAAATGCCCGGAGGGGGATGAGCGGGAATTGACAGAGCCATAATGAAATCAAGGCTTTGGAAAAGTAGCTAAAAGTAAGCGAGACACAGTTGACAGAGCATATTATCTGATTCTTAACTGGAATAACGTTGAAATCTTAAGTGCATCGTAACCGGGAGGATTGGACCTTATTAGGAGGAAATACCACATGCCATCTTTAAGATTAAACAAACCTATGAATAAGATTGTAATCACACTTGAATGGTACATATTAATATATCAGATACCAAGACAATGATAGAGAGATGTATACAAATTACAGGCGGCCTTCGACACACGCCTCTGAAGTAAAAGAAAAACTTCATCTTCCGAAATCAAATTTTAGTTATATCATGCTAATATAATCAGTTTTCAAATGAATATATGAAAGAGCATATATTTGAACTGCGAAATGAGAAAGATATGAAGACGTGATTGATCATCGCAGTTATGCACACAACTTAAGCAGTTGGGAAATTGAAACCTGAAAAAAATTCGAACCCATGACCTCTGCGATGCCGGTACAGTGCTCTACCAACTGAGCTATCAAGCCAACTGGGAGCTAGTCACTTTGTGAGTTCGTAATATACCCGTAGATGGTGAATAGTGTTGCTGTTTTACTAACTGAGTTAGATATTACTATTGTTTGCCTTACGCGTGTGCCTTGGTTAATCTTTTTTTGTGTGTGTACAGGTTAAAGACGTGCACACATTTTGGTGGTGGAGTGAAAACTACATGCTTCCTGCCCTGTACAGTACACCATGGTACAATGGAAAAAAGTTCAAAGAAGAAAATTTCTTCTCCAACAAGAAATCTTTCATTGTAAGCCTTCCTCGCTTACGGCAGATTCGAGTGAAACCAGGTTAGTTGGCGGTCGACTGTGTTTTAAGCCTACATTTTTGGNGGGGGGGGGGGATTCTTCCGTAGATATCGGATAGGTGTGTGCCGCGAAGGGTCTCAAGGCGACACACCAGGAGCACAATGTCAACAGGGGCAAAAATGAGATCCGATTTAAGGATCGACAGCGTCAAATTGAATTATACCCTATCCCACAGCACATACCTATATAGTCCATATATGGGAGTACCCTCCCCCGCCCTGGGTGACACTGGACTGACTAAGTGAATAGCGGACCTGCGTGTGGTCTAAGTTGGCGGTACTTGGGACGTTGCAGGATTGAGAGAGAATGATTGAGGTTGATAATTCGGAAAAATGGCATCATGGTTGTAATAGTTGGATTATGACTGAAAAGAGGAACTGGCAAAAATGAACTTTAAAGTTGTCCAGTTCAAAGGAAAAATTGGAAACGGCCATTGGGTATTAAACGATTCGACAAACCCCAGGTGGTATGTTAACCAGGACATAATAAGTTTCTTACTTATTCGCAACCGAAAAGGGAAAAGGTCTGCGAACGAGCTAAGTGGTCCGTTAGGTCTACGCTTATCTCTTGTCTCAGTAGCATGAAGCGACTAGGATTATCTCTACTCCCCCATCCCCTGGATGGGATGCTAGTCTATTGCAGGGTTACCCCCAGCATTAAATTCGCCCCTACTCATTTATGCAGCTGGGTGGAGATAGGCCCTGATAGAATCAACTGTCTTGCCTAAGAACACAACACAATGTCCCCGCTCTAGGTTCGAACCCGGACCGCTCGATCCGGAGAAGAGCGCACCAACCATGACGCCACTGCGCCATCTGACCGGAGACAACTGACCGTTTTTTGATTAAAAAAGTGCAGCACTTACACAAAAGAACAACCAAGAAATAAACCTGAAATAATGGCAATATTATATTCCATCGATTCACTCTTAAGCAGACACGCTTAGGAGAGTTTTCCAGTTACGGAAAATTGAAAATGTCTAGTAGTGTTTATATGTGCCTGCAACGAAGTGCCCACCTATAAAAGGTGTCCGTTTGCGGAAGTTATTTGGAAAACAAATTTCCAGCAAACTCACGGAAGCTCTTTTTATCTCTCTTTATAGATCCATGTGTTGCTTTGTCCGCCTACCCTGAATTTAAAAAGTGGTTTCCTCGATGTTACCTTGAATTCTCAGACGATAATCGTGACGTCGTCTCATCAGGCTCCCGCCTTGAGTTGATTGACGTCTCGCCTTCTTACATACCCAGCCAAAGCAGCAGCAGCAGCAGCAGCAGCAGTAGTAGCGGCAACAACAACAACGACACTAACAACAGTAACAACAACAGTAACAGTAGTAGCAGTATTAGTGGTAGTAGCCATAATGAGGAGACGTTCCCATCCATTCCAATAGCTTGTGAACACACAGTGAAATATCAAGATTCCAAAGCCCTCGGTACTCTTCCGGTTGTTACAGCTCGCCACACATATAACGGCGGTGGCCTTGTGGCTGACTTGGGATATGACATACAGACCGCCCGGCAGGTTATCTCAGGCCTTCAGGAGGACATTTGGATCAACAGACGAACAAGAATTGTTCTGTTAGAACTTGTCACTTTCCAACCATCGACCAATCTGTTTGCATTTACTCGTTATTCCTTTGAATCCCTACCGACTGGAGGCGTAATGCCCTCCTACCGTATTGACCCTATCTCGTTTTACGGTAGTAGTAACTCGCTAAGCCAAGGCATCTTCATTGGTTGTTACGTTCTTATCGTCTTAATACTTATTTTCTCGATATACACTGAGATAAGAGAACTGCGAAAGCTTGGAGTCAAATACTTTAAGGACGTCTGGAACGTGATAGAGCTGGCATTCATCTCCTTCACAATTGCAACCATCGTGATCTTCTTCTTCAAATCGGAATACACCAGGCAACTGATACAGAAAGTGCAAGAGAATCCATATGCTCGAATGAGCTTCGACTTTGTAGCTCTATGGACAGACATCGAAAGCGTGTTTCTTGCCCTGGTTATCTTCCTGGCAACGATGAAGTTCCTCCGCATTTTGAAATTTAACAAGCATATCGCCATCATGGCAAAAAGCATAAGTATTTCCAAGGGTCCCATGATTTCATACTCAATAGTGTATACTGTGGTACTGATCGCATTTGCCACAATGGGCCATATGATATTTGGGCGTTCGGCGTACATGTTTTCTACGTTTACGAGGGCACTGGTCAACATATTCGAGATGATCCTTGGTAAAGGCACCAACTATGATGAACTGGAGTCAATCAACCGTTTCTTTGGGCCATTCTTCGTCTTCTTCTATTTCTTCAGTATGACTGTCTTCCTCATGAACTTCTTCATGGCCATCTTGAATGACTCCTTCACTGATGCAAGAGAGATCTTGGAACAAGAACCAACGGAGGACAGTCAAGTGGCAGATTTCATTGGGGAGTACGCTGTAACCATGCTCAAGGAAATAGCAGACGAATTGCGAAGGACCAGTGGAAGGAAAAAGAGATATTCACATCACGCCACAACATACAGCAAAGAAGTAAAGGAGAGTGACTTCTTCTTGTACTGATCAATTTGACTGCGGAATTCAGGCGCACTGTAAACCCTGCAATATCATAATTTCGTTAATTTATTTTTGAGGCCGGGGCTCTCGTTTAATTTGGGGTGCAGCGCGAAGATCGTTATTACCGAAAAAAAAAAATAAATAACGGCAGATGAAAAAGAATGGCTAGGCTTCGGGCGAGGAAACCACCAGTCCCCAACTTGCCATCTTCTTTGTTTCTTTGCTTGTTCGTTTGTTTGTTTACTTTGTTTTTCAATACCTTTCTTTGCCCAGCTCCCCAATTTATAAAATCAGAGGGGAACTAGCAGATCGTCAAAACCCTTTACAAGATTTCATGCCTAAAGCTGTTGCTGATTATACTTACAGCGATCGCAAATTGCATTCCTCACACGCAGCATTGGTTTATGGTTTAATCAAAATGTAGCTCGCGCACGGTTATGCAAGTGGACTTCGAGAGGTTTAGCGTATTCTAAATGGAATCAAGCTAAAGTATGTAGCAGGATGAACCGTCCACTTCAATGTTAAAAGTGTGCATTCTTTTCATAATTATTATTATAGCACGTTGAAACTGTACAATGGGAAATTATGCACGGTCGAGAATTGGGTGGTGCTTAGCTTTGGTCGTTGGAGTTGAAGTTGTGTATTTGAAACAAGAAAGTATTGTGATGTTTCCTGTACAATGTATAGAAAACAAAAACATTTGTAACACAACGTCGCTTGTAATTTCTTTCGCAATAGTTTTTCCATTGATTGTATGACAAGTATATAACAAATCGATCGATCTACATGGGAGAACAAGAATTCGACTCTTTCATTTGTTTTAATGCTTTGATCAAAAAATTGACGTTTTTGTATTACACGCAAGCTAAATAAGAGAATAATCTAGGTCAGTTTACTCATGTGTAGGCTTTCCAATCGCTTAATAAGGACAAAAATAGATAGAAAAGTAGTTTTCTTGAAAAAGTGCAATGAAGCTTGTTGGGAGTGAGGTGTTGCCATGAACACGAGTGGCTTTCGCAGGCCACATTACACTATGTGCTGAAACCAAAACAAAGCGATGGCCNATTCTTCCGTAGATATCGGATAGGTGTGTGCCGCGAAGGGTCTCAAGGCGACACACCAGGAGCACAATGTCAACAGGGGCAAAAATGAGATCCGATTTAAGGATCGACAGCGTCAAATTGAATTATACCCTATCCCACAGCACATACCTATATAGTCCATATATGGGAGTACCCTCCCCCGCCCTGGGTGACACTGGACTGACTAAGTGAATAGCGGACCTGCGTGTGGTCTAAGTTGGCGGTACTTGGGACGTTGCAGGATTGAGAGAGAATGATTGAGGTTGATAATTCGGAAAAATGGCATCATGGTTGTAATAGTTGGATTATGACTGAAAAGAGGAACTGGCAAAAATGAACTTTAAAGTTGTCCAGTTCAAAGGAAAAATTGGAAACGGCCATTGGGTATTAAACGATTCGACAAACCCCAGGTGGTATGTTAACCAGGACATAATAAGTTTCTTACTTATTCGCAACCGAAAAGGGAAAAGGTCTGCGAACGAGCTAAGTGGTCCGTTAGGTCTACGCTTATCTCTTGTCTCAGTAGCATGAAGCGACTAGGATTATCTCTACTCCCCCATCCCCTGGATGGGATGCTAGTCTATTGCAGGGTTACCCCCAGCATTAAATTCGCCCCTACTCATTTATGCAGCTGGGTGGAGATAGGCCCTGATAGAATCAACTGTCTTGCCTAAGAACACAACACAATGTCCCCGCTCTAGGTTCGAACCCGGACCGCTCGATCCGGAGAAGAGCGCACCAACCATGACGCCACTGCGCCATCTGACCGGAGACAACTGACCGTTTTTTGATTAAAAAAGTGCAGCACTTACACAAAAGAACAACCAAGAAATAAACCTGAAATAATGGCAATATTATATTCCATCGATTCACTCTTAAGCAGACACGCTTAGGAGAGTTTTCCAGTTACGGAAAATTGAAAATGTCTAGTAGTGTTTATATGTGCCTGCAACGAAGTGCCCACCTATAAAAGGTGTCCGTTTGCGGAAGTTATTTGGAAAACAAATTTCCAGCAAACTCACGGAAGCTCTTTTTATCTCTCTTTATAGATCCATGTGTTGCTTTGTCCGCCTACCCTGAATTTAAAAAGTGGTTTCCTCGATGTTACCTTGAATTCTCAGACGATAATCGTGACGTCGTCTCATCAGGCTCCCGCCTTGAGTTGATTGACGTCTCGCCTTCTTACATACCCAGCCAAAGCAGCAGCAGCAGCAGCAGCAGCAGTAGTAGCGGCAACAACAACAACGACACTAACAACAGTAACAACAACAGTAACAGTAGTAGCAGTATTAGTGGTAGTAGCCATAATGAGGAGACGTTCCCATCCATTCCAATAGCTTGTGAACACACAGTGAAATATCAAGATTCCAAAGCCCTCGGTACTCTTCCGGTTGTTACAGCTCGCCACACATATAACGGCGGTGGCCTTGTGGCTGACTTGGGATATGACATACAGACCGCCCGGCAGGTTATCTCAGGCCTTCAGGAGGACATTTGGATCAACAGACGAACAAGAATTGTTCTGTTAGAACTTGTCACTTTCCAACCATCGACCAATCTGTTTGCATTTACTCGTTATTCCTTTGAATCCCTACCGACTGGAGGCGTAATGCCCTCCTACCGTATTGACCCTATCTCGTTTTACGGTAGTAGTAACTCGCTAAGCCAAGGCATCTTCATTGGTTGTTACGTTCTTATCGTCTTAATACTTATTTTCTCGATATACACTGAGATAAGAGAACTGCGAAAGCTTGGAGTCAAATACTTTAAGGACGTCTGGAACGTGATAGAGCTGGCATTCATCTCCTTCACAATTGCAACCATCGTGATCTTCTTCTTCAAATCGGAATACACCAGGCAACTGATACAGAAAGTGCAAGAGAATCCATATGCTCGAATGAGCTTCGACTTTGTAGCTCTATGGACAGACATCGAAAGCGTGTTTCTTGCCCTGGTTATCTTCCTGGCAACGATGAAGTTCCTCCGCATTTTGAAATTTAACAAGCATATCGCCATCATGGCAAAAAGCATAAGTATTTCCAAGGGTCCCATGATTTCATACTCAATAGTGTATACTGTGGTACTGATCGCATTTGCCACAATGGGCCATATGATATTTGGGCGTTCGGCGTACATGTTTTCTACGTTTACGAGGGCACTGGTCAACATATTCGAGATGATCCTTGGTAAAGGCACCAACTATGATGAACTGGAGTCAATCAACCGTTTCTTTGGGCCATTCTTCGTCTTCTTCTATTTCTTCAGTATGACTGTCTTCCTCATGAACTTCTTCATGGCCATCTTGAATGACTCCTTCACTGATGCAAGAGAGATCTTGGAACAAGAACCAACGGAGGACAGTCAAGTGGCAGATTTCATTGGGGAGTACGCTGTAACCATGCTCAAGGAAATAGCAGACGAATTGCGAAGGACCAGTGGAAGGAAAAAGAGATATTCACATCACGCCACAACATACAGCAAAGAAGTAAAGGAGAGTGACTTCTTCTTGTACTGATCAATTTGACTGCGGAATTCAGGCGCACTGTAAACCCTGCAATATCATAATTTCGTTAATTTATTTTTGAGGCCGGGGCTCTCGTTTAATTTGGGGTGCAGCGCGAAGATCGTTATTACCGAAAAAAAAAAATAAATAACGGCAGATGAAAAAGAATGGCTAGGCTTCGGGCGAGGAAACCACCAGTCCCCAACTTGCCATCTTCTTTGTTTCTTTGCTTGTTCGTTTGTTTGTTTACTTTGTTTTTCAATACCTTTCTTTGCCCAGCTCCCCAATTTATAAAATCAGAGGGGAACTAGCAGATCGTCAAAACCCTTTACAAGATTTCATGCCTAAAGCTGTTGCTGATTATACTTACAGCGATCGCAAATTGCATTCCTCACACGCAGCATTGGTTTATGGTTTAATCAAAATGTAGCTCGCGCACGGTTATGCAAGTGGACTTCGAGAGGTTTAGCGTATTCTAAATGGAATCAAGCTAAAGTATGTAGCAGGATGAACCGTGCACTTCAATGTTAAAAGTGTGCATTCTTTTCATAATTATTATTATAGCACGTTGAAACTGTACAATGGGAAATTATGCACGGTCGAGAATTGGGTGGTGCTTAGCTTTGGTCGTTGGAGTTGAAGTTGTGTATTTGAAACAAGAAAGTATTGTGATGTTTCCTGTACAATGTATAGAAAACAAAAACATTTGTAACACAACGTCGCTTGTAATTTCTTTCGCAATAGTTTTTCCATTGATTGTATGACAAGTATATAACAAATCGATCGATCTACATGGGAGAACAAGAATTCGACTCTTTCATTTGTTTTAATGCTTTGATCAAAAAATTGACGTTTTTGTATTACACGCAAGCTAAATAAGAGAATAATCTAGGTCAGTTTACTCATGTGTAGGCTTTCCAATCGCTTAATAAGGACAAAAATAGATAGAAAAGTAGTTTTCTTGAAAAAGTGCAATGAAGCTTGTTGGGAGTGAGGTGTTGCCATGAACACGAGTGGCTTTCGCAGGCCACATTACACTATGTGCTGAAACCAAAACAAAGCGATGGCCAGTCTCAGCAAATGTAAACAACAGACTGAGCCAAAACGAATTTGAAACAAATAACAGCACAAAATTTACTGACAGTTGAGAAATAATAGACATGGGCTGAAATTTTACTGATAGCTGCACGAGAAAAGGCGAACAAAAGAGATTTCAACTGGCAACTTAAATTCCATCACCTCTGGGCCTCTGAGCACTACTTACAAACGTTGTGCTATGGTGGTGTTCTTTGTCTTAAAACAGAAAATAAAGATCTTTTCAGCTCTCTAGCTATCGAATGTTGACGTCCATTAATTACGCTATCCTCTTTGTATAAGTAGTAATAGAAGACTTAAGTTTAGTTGCACATACGTCGGAACTACCTAGGAAACCCGATTTTCTGCAGCAGACCGTCCACGAAATATGCTCTAGAATACAACTCAAAAAGAGCAAGGTCTGAAGAAAAGCGCAGCTGCAAAAACAGGTCACTGAAAGAGCGGGATAAATGCCCTGAGGAACACAATCTGGTTTCCACAGGAGCGGGGGTTCTGATTACTCGAGTTGCTCCTTCCAGCCTCCTCAGACAAACTAACCCTTCTTCCAAATCGGTACAATGTATGACTCTGTACTTGTGTAGAGAGGTGCTCAAGGTAAGGTAAGGTAAGGTAAATTTATTTTGAATCTTAAACGTGGGGAGTGGTTGCCCAATCTCCCGATTCAGAAGCTCATGACAAAAACGCACGAATATTAACAATAACGTTACTACTTACAATTACTATATTCGCTAAGATAAATTCAGAATTAAAATATAAAATGTTCCTAAGAGCGCAACTGTTTTAAGTGTTCCGTATGATGGAGAAACCGAACATCACAAGATGACTGACAGCTTTAACACTGGCCATGGTGTATTTGCTTTAGTAGCGGCTTGTGTTTGCAAATCTGCACCTATTGAGCAAAGACAGGATGCTAGTTTAGACATAACACGACAGAGTAGGAACCAGGTGCCCGTTATTTCTAGCTATCTGCTACAAATTTGTCCAGCACTTGTTAAAGCAGTTCAGTCGTAAGGCTTCTTGCCGAGATGCACTTCACAGTGGTTTTTGCGCTGATGTTGCTCAATGGTTTAACCCTTACCCTGGGAAATCAAGGTTTGTAACTTTAGAGAATAACGAGTTGAAGATAGCTGAGAGGTTTATCTCACTATGGGGCCTGGAATATCTGTTCCCTCGTCAACATAAAGAAATCTTTCAGTTGCTGAAAACCAACCTTTTTCTTCTCCTTTTCGTTCTGATAATACTTGACCCAAACTCGGAGTCAGGTTATCCTTTGCAAACCACCACTTTTACGCAGTTTATCCATCCACACTCGCTAGTGTGCGGCAATATGAACTAGCCACTTAACATGACTCTTGTAAAAAGCGACGCTTTCACTTTGATCTGTTTTTTCATATTTTGTAAACGTAATCAGGCAAAAACAGAGAACTGCTGAAGTGGCTTGCTGAATAAGCTTGAAGGCAGATAAAAGAATACAAAAACTTCGAAGTCATGTTTTTTGCCTAGAAAACGCTACATAAGCCAGTTACGCACTGCCAAAAATTAATCAAATCATATGGCCACTACTTCAAGCTTGATCGAGCGAAAAATTACGGCTTTGGCCAAAACATTTTGCCAGGATTTTGACATCAAACTAGCGCAATTTAGACTAAGAAGCCTTTTGTAAGTACTTCATGAAGGATTTGTCCCCGAATACGCTACGGTTTCTTGTTGCGTACCGCTTCGCAGCACGTATTCCCGAGCACTTCTCCTTGGAAAAATCCTGGCTCGAATATAGTTAATATACTTGAACAGATTATAATCGGAATAACTACCGTGGGGGCTGTAGCGAAGTCATCGATCAGCAAAGAGCAATACATTTTAAAAGAATTCTTGTTACAATTCCTTATGTTAATAGCAGAATGTGGAAAGCGACCCATTACTACCCGTGTAGTTGGCGGAACAGATGCCCAGCCTAATTCATGGCCATGGCAGATCTCTTTGAGGGTTAAAGTGCAAGGAAAACTTTATCACATTTGTGGTGGATCTCTCATCTCACCAACACACGTGGTAACGGCAGCTCACTGTGTGGTACAAAAAGCTGCGCCCAGTCGTTACAAAGTTGTTGTAGGTAGGCTTGTTTTATTACTAAAATTTGTAGCCTAGCATAATCTTTTGTGAAATCCTTCATTTGTTCTTGTGCAGTCTATTTGTGGCTAGAGTTACTCATCCACGAAAATTGGCAAAACTTAATTGAACAGAACCAAATTTAAACCTGATCGAGACTGTAAGCGTAACACTAGCTCAATAAACAGGGAAGATAGACCTTGACGAAGATGTATCTAGCCATCTTCACCGAATTCCCCTTGTTATGATCAATAACTCATGTATCTGAACCTCACGTTTGGTCGATAACAATTATATCCTTGCAGGCGAGCATGACCAAACAGTAACCGAAGGTGCGGAACAAGTATTCGATGTATCGTCGGTTTGTTTCCATGAAGGTTTTTCCATGCAGCATTTACGCAATGATATCGCTGTGCTTACACTTTCCAACCCTGTGGCCCTGAGTGATCGAGTAAACACTGTTTGTTTACCACAGGGCAGACAGCAAGTGCTCACGGGAACCAAATGCTACATCACAGGTATCCCAGCCCAAACTATGTTTGAATTCTTAAATTATAGGCACGCACTGTGTGCAAAGAGTTTAAGCAGAGTGGCCTGCCTCGCATGCCTTGCAGACATGTGACTTTTTAGCAACCGAATTGATCGAAATTACCTTTCTTGAAGCATATATTTCACAGAAAAAAGAGCAAGTTAGAAAATGGTTTGCAACAGACATGACACTTGGTGCAAAATAGTTTCGCGTCACTGTCAGATTGCACGGAAATTTCTACGTCAACATGGGCGCGCAGTCTCAAAAGAAACCACCAAAGTGGATAGATACCAAACCGAGTGTAAGTCACTTGTTACATTTTACCCCACTGCATTTACTAAAGGAATTGAAGTTAGGAAAAACTGTTCAATCCATATATTGGTGTACCGATTTATGACCTATTTCACACGCATCTTACGCCCATTTGTTCAAAATTAATCCGATGAAGATTTGGAAGTGCAAAAATGAGTTTAACACAACCAAGCTAGTAACAAGCTGCGATTGGTCACAGTTTAAGGCGATGAACGACGCGACCTAAGACCTCGTATTACTCAAAATGTTGGAAAATGTGAGAGGACCAGTCCTTTAAGGTTCGTGGATATAAGTAACGGTTTTGCTGACATAACAAGCAGTGGCGCTTGCAAAGGAAGGACGAGTTTTTGTTTATCTAGATAAGGCATTTACGGAGCGCAGTAGGCTCAGAGACTTTTACACAGAAAATTCATTCTCGACAAATTTTTCCGCTATGACGAATTTTTAATAGGTGTGGAATCATTCATGTAGGTTGGGGAAGAACTATTGGCGGAGGAAAGCCGGCGAATATTCTTCAACAGGCCGTCATGCCTGTTGTGGATCACCAGACATGCGCCAAGGCGAACAAGGACTTAGTGCCAGTGGATGAACCAAGCATGCTGTGTGCAGGATACGCGACAGCAGGCAATGTGATCAGTGGATGTCAGGGTGACAGTGGAGGGCCATTCGTGTGTGAAGAAAATGGGCGTTTTGTTCTTCGTGGGGCTGTGAGCTGGGGACACCCTCGGTGTGAAGCAGAGAACTCCTACACGGTGTTCGCTCGCGTGAGCTTCTATGTGGACTGGATCAATGACAAAATGGCTGGAGGTCTGCTGTAGTTAGGTTTTGAAATTACATACTTTTCACTGAAATTTCAAGGTTGTATCCTCTGGAGAAATCAAAGCCACAACACAGATTTTTGAACAGTTCTTTTCCACTTTCCCACGGATTTCAGAAAACAGGACAATTTTCAAACATTGCCATCAAAACCTACTTTGTTGGAAAAAGAATCCAGGAGTTCATGTTTTGACTAATAACACACATTATGACCTCCATAAGACAACCATAACTTTTTCTGTACACTTTACTGCTACTATATATAAGATTCAGAGTAAGAGGTAATAGGTGATTAGCCATGTTCTAAACGGGCAAGCGACTGGGTAAGAATATTTAAAATCGATGAGCCTGATGCCTAAAAAGCATCTAAAAGTTAGTAATTTTGCCAAATGGCAATGTTTTTGGTTCAAACACAAAGATGTAATACAATTTTGAAAAGCTGTGATTTACATGTAAGAGAGTTTTCTTTGGTTTGGAGGGACACCTTTTTTTGTTGACACCAGGCTCAAATTTTCAACTTAATCGATTTTAAATATTCCTATCCAGTCTCCTCGCTTGTTTGGAACATGACTAATTTATTGTCAACCTTGCTCCCAGGGTTTTTTCCAGTATTTCAAAGGGATTTTGATTGATCTTGATTTCTTGTGATCATGATATGATGTGTCATGCGACAATTCGTCTACACAGAAAGGATGCCATAAGTGATATCTAACTTGACAATACATTAATCCTTCAGGTCATGGCCAAGGATGTGCTCCAACTCCCGCCCCTCCAACAAAACGACGTAAGTTTCTTTTTCACTGTTAGAGTAAGCTGGAAAATGAGGTGCTCTAGCAACCTCGTTCCCAGGAGCTTCTCTTCTATCCTTAAGAGGAGGCACAAAATTAGACCCTGCGAATGGGGTTGCGTATATCATCAACTAATTTATACACTTTGCGTAAATTGCAGTTTAACATCGTTTAAAGGAGTTACATCATGGTTTGTGCATCTTGAATAGTTAAGCCTAAACGAGACGCGTCTCGAGAGAAACGAGTCTCGAGAGAAACACGTCCCGAAAGAAACGAGACGCGTCTCGCGAGAAACGAGATGAGAGGTGGTAACTCGCATTTGAGCGGTACTGTAGCATGGCATGGCATGGCATGGCACTCAAATACATATTCTTCTTTCTTCCTAGCCTGTTTCGACAGATGGCCAGAATCAACTTGTCGAAGATACAAAGGGCAATGTGGAGTGCACACTGTTAGGATCAGTTGTCGTAAAACATGCAACTTTAAATGCTAATTCTCATTTTTAAAAGAATAAAGACAGCCCGGCAACACAGGGCCTAAGAAGAGCGCCTGTGACTCATTTATTATTAGTACTTTTTTTTTCCGATGTAACTCATATCCCTTTACTCATCTAACGCCATGCTTTCAATACGAGCATTTAGATTATAACTGTGGCTGTGCTTTTTTTTGTTTTGTTTTGTGTTTTTTTTGTTTGCAATTGCGTGTGAACAGTGCAAGTGCGTCGTTTGTAATCCGTGTTAATCTTCTCCATCCTTAACCATATTTGTTCTTTCATCGTTTAATATTATCTCTTTGAAGTTTCTCTATCTTAATGAACTTCTATTTTCAGGTTTAATTCAATTTAAAATAATTTTGCACGGGGCCAAAATAACTCTAAAATACCTTCAAACATTTTGATCATTTATTTCACGTTTAGTGTTTTTTTCCAAAATTTCAAAAACGGCTCTATGGCCTCAAAAAATACATTTCGTTGTAATACCGGGAATTTTCCTTGTCCCTAAAATTTAATTTCTTCGTCGGGCGCAGTGAAGATACCATTTTTATCTTTCACAAGTCAACGGTAATATCGACGTCGTCATGGTTACGGACACGTACAATTTTTCTCCCAACATAATGAAACTTCAATTTGACTTTGTTAACACAGAAAATGTTCTTGATCTTTGCGATTCGTTAAACTGGCTGTCACATTCATTTACACAGTTTAAAATTTCAGTTTCGGTGGTTTTAACATATGAAGAAAAACTGAGATGCATGTAATAAACATAACAATTTTTCTTTTTTTTTTAATTAAGGTGGTTCGGGAGAGTTTCCGGCACTTTCCAAGACGTAGATTTTGATGGGTCATTATAACTACTCTATATCGGCTGATCAAAAATCACTGCTTAATCATAGGTGAACATGTTGCTGTCAATTGCGTGGCTCAATAGGTTACCACACCAACAATATTCATGCCCGGAAAAAAAAAGTCTTTAATTTTAGCTTTAAGCGCTTACGACTAAAAAGCGAGCACGGTGACCCCCATTTTTTTACTATCGAATTGCGGTAAGCACGATGAGATGCACCTTTGTGCAAAGTTCAAAAAATTTCTGTCGGGTGAGTTCAGAGCCACTTTTAATTTTCGTAAATGAACCCACTCTACAGAACCCATTCTGACAGAAATTGTGCGATACCATAATTGCAGCATCGCTTGTTAAACAGTAAATGAAGTGCTGGAAACTGTTGCCAGCCTCGTTAAATATATTTAATAAATGTTTGCCCCAAGAGCAAAAATTGCCGCTGGCGGATGCGAATTTTATCTTGCTCGTGCTGATGATATCTCCCACTATCACTAATACCTCCAGGGGGACTTCCATGTAAAAAGACGGGGCCGCTCGCTGGATGTCATATATATGGGTTATTGACCAAGTGTGAGGTCAAGATGGCTGGATATTGGCCAAGTTCTTTTTTTGCGAGTCCATAAACTCGCAAAAAAAAAGAACGAGGCCAATATNTTCGGGGACATTTTTCTTGCGGGACACGGCGGGTAGTCCCGAGCGGGCAAGATAGCTCCATCTTGCCCGCGCGGGTAGCCAATACCCTAAAATATACCGCAAAAGCTTCCTCTGTGGATCTTTTGAGGCTGAACACCCTAAGCTGTACCAAAATCGCCTTTTTAACCCCTGAAAGGTACGCAGAGCACCCGGGGGAGATACCAGTAGCACTCGAAGATAAAATTCGTATCCCCGCGCGGGGTCATGCAATACCGGTATCATATACCAAACTTAAAGTGCACCTGACCCCCAAATTTTTTTTTCGCTAAAACGAATCTAATTGTTATTTGAAATAGTTCTGCGAAAAAATTTTTGGATTCCGTCAAATCCTCGATTTTCTGTGCCCCGACGAAATCGCGAAAATGGCTCCAAAACACCGTCATTTTGTTTCACGACCGAGTTTGAGGAGAATGGGTCCAGCGGCTCTTGTGACGTCTTCCCAGGAAGGTTGGATATCTCACGTCCTCTCATTTCTAGTCTAGTCTATCAACTTTATTGGTCACAAAATTACAATATAATTAAAAGAAGAAAAGGACCAATAGGAATTGCGCGAACGGGAAAATAAAGTTACCCAT